CTGAGGCCATACACAGCGACAAAAATATAGTTAGCCTTACGACTTTACGATGTTGCCCTATTCTCTTTGGCGTATTTTGCTTTTTGGTAGTCTTTATTTTACGGTTTGTAATAACAGGTACACGCACTTCCTTGTCATTCCCAACTATTTCTTCGGATGCAGCGCTGTGGTAAAGCTAAAATCGACGGTTCTTATTATGTTCAACTTTTTGTCGAACGATTCAGGAATCCTTCCGTGACTTCCAACTGGAGCAGTCTCTCAACTGAGATCTTTCTTTTTTTGAAGTTTTTAATCAAAGTTCTTTATACTAGCTAGTAAAGCGACTGTTCTTTGCTGTAGAATAGTAAGTTCCTGGAGTAATCTGGCCTTTAATACTGTTTCAGCTGCATGCAATGACCTTTGCTTTACTGCCTTATTATTATTTTGGAAGTCATTTTGAATCCGGAATTTATTTTATTTTATTTTATTTTATTTTTATTTTTTTTAATGTTTATTGATAATCACATTAAATAATTACATTTACAAAACACACACACACACACACACAAAAAAAAATTGTCAAATTATTACAGGAGGTGTTACAGGGCTAAAAGAAATTGTAAAAAAAGTACAACAGGGCAATGAAATAATACGGAGGTAATACAGTTAACTTAAATAAGGCGTCAGTATCCACTTTCTTTTAAAGAATTCTTTGTTGCTGATTTTTTCTTCTGTTTCATATTTAGCGATGATCTTGGCTTTAAATCCACAAATGTTTGGAAGGATTTGTTTGCTCCTGCAGTCCCACAAATAGAGTTTTCCAATAATTATAAAATAGTTCGGCAATTGAAGTAAAGGGCAAGCATTTTCCGTCAAAATTCCAAAGAGCACATTTTCCAAGCAGAGACGAATTCGTTGATTCGAAATAAGGCACCAATATAGTTCAAATTCAATCCAAAACTGTTTAGAGCGTGAGCAGTGATAGAACAAATGCGTTAATGATTCAGGTTGATTGTCACAGAAAGTACATAAATCATTTGTCCTATAACCTATTTTATACAACTTTGTATTTGTGTAAAGAATTGAGTTAATTACTTTGTACTGGAAGGCTTTAACATACGATTCGACAGCGATAGAGTGTGGCAGCTTAAATATTTGCTTCAGATTGTCGCTGTTAAAATTAAAGTTACTCTGTAATTTTTGAATAATATTGGGCGGTTTAGCTTTTTCTCTGATGAGTAGGTTGTAGTAATCCTTTGATTTCCCTTTCGTAACATCAAATCCGGAATTTAAAAAGACTGGGAAAATCCGGTAGTGCCAGGTCCCTGCACAGTATGAAATTAGGCATTAGCTGGTATATTTTTTAATGAAGTATTGAAAAAGGAATGGCGTTAACTGCTTCTAGAAGAATTGACAAATGCTCCACCCCCGGGGAGAGGTTTTCTGACAAATCCCTCCACTGAGACCTACAAGATGACAAATGCCCAACAAAATGCCGCCCCCCCCCTCCTAAGGGGGGGGGGGAATTGGGGGAAATGGGCAACTTGGAATTGGCTGAGCCATAAGCTTAATAAAATTAAAGTTTCAATTGATAATTTTGGCTTGAAAATAAGGGTATTATCTCATAATTTGATGTCATCTTTACAATTTTTTATTTCAGGATTTATGTCAGTCAAATAATTAATACATACCGTAAGTTGTACGGTTTGAAGCTATCAAAGAAGAAGGTAATTCAGCTGAGTTTTATATAAGTTGATTGCAGTAAAAAAACCCAACTCCCATCATTATAGAAAAACAAGATTACAGTAGACAAACTTGTTAACTTCCCTTAACAAAATTTCTACCCTGTAACAGCTCTGTAGCATCACTGGAACAGGGTTGAAAAACTAACCTGTAACAACCCTGTTACAGCTCGTCATTTGGCACAGTTAGCATGGCTGTTTCTACACTGTTATAGCAGCCTTGGAACAGCCCTGTCACGTTTAACTCAAAATTTCTTGGTAGACACCCTGTAACAGCCATGTTACAACCCTCTTTCCACCCTGTGATGGACATCCCTGCCACAGCTCGTGAATTGGCACAGTTAGCAAGGCTGTTTTTACACTGTGGCATTCCTTTAACAGCCTTGGTACAGGTTTCATGCATGCATCACAACCCTGTTACAACTTGTTAATTGGCAGTTAACAAGGCTGTTTTTTTTACCAGGTGCCAACGTTGTGATACTCCCTCTCACACAATACACACTTTAGACAGCAACCGTTTAACTTCTATACATAAGAATTATAGTACTATCGGAACATAATTTTTTATAACTTCACATCTATTAAAGATGAAACTTAATCTTTTTTAGGCATATTTGAACTCATGAAAATTCCTGAAGCAAAGGAACAATTTGCGCCCCAAAAAGCTTCAAAGTTGAACCACCAACGGCTGGTTTAGTCCGTTTAGTCACTTAAGTAACAAAAGCAATGCATTTCAACAAACATACATTGAAAGGACACTTACGATAAAGGAAAACAGAAAATACAGTCAATTAAGAACTTAACGTTACTTTATTTTTCACATGTCGACTTTACAGTGTGTAAAAATATAGACAGAACAAAATTTAAACTGCATGCAACAGTCTGATCTGGCTTGTAAACACTTGCTTGCTTTGCTCGATTTAATGTACAACTAGCACGTCAAAATGCCGACTTTACAATAACGGTCCCAAAAAACAAAAAAAGGACGATTTTTGTCCGCAATTATAAGAGATGAAACACGGAATTGTTCCATTGTAACAACGGTTCTGAGGTTGACAGTTTATAGTTGTTTTGTTCGTTGTAACAAGCTTAATTTGAAATCGCTCACCTCGATTGTCTTTCCTTCATGAGTGTTACATTTCCTCATGAAAAGAGCCAATCCATTTGTGTTTCAGTTGTTGCTGAATTGTTTAATGGTGTACGAATTACTAGGCAGGGCAAACAATACTTGCATCTTGCAAGTGCCGTGGAATGTTTTCTGTCCACCAGATCGATCAGTTTCCCATTCGTTGAGAGCTGGTCAAAGCACAGTTATTTTTTTGCTAATACTTTTTCACTCTCTGCTTCAAAAGCAGCAAAAAATGCTCTACAGCCTTTCTAAATCTAAACTGGATGCAGAAAGCATTTGAATATTTTCGCCTTTCATTCAAATGATCGTGAGTCGTTTCAGGAATGGAGATGTGTAATGCGATCTTCCGGTAAAAGTGCTGACCAATAAGATTAAAGTCTTGGATTTCTCCAGGGAATTACCAATGGCGTGTCTGTCACGGAATGAAAATATTGCAGTCCCCTCGATCTCTAAGGAAAGAATTTAATTCCATGCTTGCAGAGGTCTCTCACGCAGGAAAACAAATTGAAGTGATCTGAAAGTCTTTCATTTTTAGTACATTGCTGTAAAAAATTAATTAAGTTACAATGGTTTTTTTTTCATTTAAAAGAACAGGAAGAACAGAAGCTGATGAAATAGGTGTCTGTAAAAATGGTAAGCTGATCATAAGAAGGTCTTCGTTTTTAACATGAGATAAAAGTCTTATAAACAAACCAACCTAAAAATACAAAGGTAGCCACAAAATCGGTAATTAATTAAAGTAAGTTTCAATGAAAAAAAAAAAAGAAAAAAAACAAAAATCCAAACAAAACCAAAAACAGCATATTAAAAAAGGCGTACAATAATCGTGTTTGATGATTGAGCGATACCATTTTCACCAAGTTCTTTTTCGTTTTATTTGTTATTAATGATCTAGCCGACCCTCGCTCCTTTTTTAACACTTTTAGACTTTGAAAAATATTGCCATCTTTCATGATTTATGGAGTTTACCGTACTTGGCTACATTGTTACTGCCCTTTGATTATTATCCATTGTGTGAACAGAAATAGACATCTCACAGTTCTTCAGGAACCCGGTTACTGTCAAATGTACCTAACACAGCCATTCTGCATCCCTGTCCTAGTTCTTCTGCATTACTAGGTAGCCCTGTCTTAACCCTGTTACAGTAACTGGATATTTTCACAGCCATGTAACAGGCTTGTTATACTTAACTATGTACACTTTTACAGCCCTGTCACAGCTCCACTTGTTTTAACTCAAGTAAGTTGCAGCTGTGTCACAGCCCTGTTACAGCCAGTTTACAGTCCTGAAATAACGTAAACAGGGCTGGAAACAGGATTTTACAGGGCTCGATCTCACAGGGTTTTTGCAGGGTAGAATTTTTTCTAAGGGTTACCTTCAGATCGAGAGTTAACATTCTTATTTGAAACTAATGCAGTCAGCTATTTGAGAGGGATGTTTGACCTCTTCGAGCACTGTGTTTACAGTGCAGCCACACAAACTGAGGCAGCGTCACCCAGACAAAATTTTGAAACAAGAAATTTTGACATTAGCTGATCACAAGTCGAGATCTAAACAATGAAATTGCACTTAATTTTAATTGTACTCAGAGCCAGCTCAAAATACGTTGCAAACCATTTTTCCAAATGAAAGAAATGAGGAACCATGATGTTTGTATAAATCAAGCTGTGTGCCGGCCATTTGCTGTGAAATAAACAGCCATCACCTTTAGTTGGGATTGCTCAAACTTTCTTTACTGCTGGCCTTGATTTCGGCCAACCCAGACGTTGTCAAAACATTTTTAATATAATTATGCAGAATTTCATTGTTTAGATCTCTACTTGTGATTGTGGGTAAAATTTGTCTCAAAATTTTTTCTAGGTCGTCAGGCCTTGGTTCGCGTGGTTACATTGTAATTTGTAATATATGTGAACACCTCGATCTTGTACCTGTATAGGTATAGACATTTTTCCTGGTCACAGTGGTGTGCACCTATAATAGCTAGAGGTTTGACTCTACATAATATAAATAGCTGCGACAAAATTTTTTTTGACAATTTAAGTTTTGTTAAGTTATATTGTTCAAGTTTTACACTGTGCTGATCTTTATAAAATATAATAATTTTATTATATTTTACACACTTTAATAGGGAAATCTTTAACTGAGACTCAATGGCTCAGCATCAAGACTTTCAAAGAAAAGGAGGTGCTGATCCTGATCATCAGATGTCAAGAAATCATGCCCCTCCTCCTCTAAGTATTGAAGTGCCTAAAATGAGTGATCTTCCAAACAATTTAGAACCTTGGAGTGATGTCCAGCTCCCTGTTGACATTCTTTTGTTGACAGTCAAAGACTGCGAGTTTTTAGCTTGTTATACTTTCTTGAAAAATTCTGTTAAAAGTTATCACCAGACCCTGGGATGTGTGTACTTTGGAACCATGGGTGAAAGTAGAGAGGAGACACTAAAAGTTGCTTTGATGAGATGTCATGAAGGCTGTTCTGTGCCAGGTGGCTCTCTAGTCACTGTTAAGAATGCAGTGCAGGAACTGAGACCCAAGGCTGCTTTCTTAGTAGGCTTTTGCATGGGATTAAACCCGCAAGCCACCAAACTAGGGGATGTAGTGTTATCCTCCAAACTTTTAACTGAAGAATTTGCAACTCCAGTAAGAAGAAATATCGGCAACCTTAACTTGTTTGCAGTAGAAGGCTGGAAGCCACCATTACAAGATCCAGTAGGTGCACATGAAGAAACTGAAGTACAGGTACACCGTGACAGTGTCATATTATGTGGTAGTCAATTATTCATCACCAAACAATGCCGTATGTCTCAATCTCATGTGGTTGCAGTTGAAAGGGAAGGGAAAGGTAAGATTATATGCATATTACAGAACTATATTAATTTTAACAATTTGATGTAGCATTCAGTTTGAGGTCTATAGAACTCTAAATTGTCCCTCGGCAACAGTATGTGACCATGGCAGTACCACAGTACCGTCGCAGGGAGGGGGGGGCTACTTTAGGAATTTGTGGGTGGTGATGTGCCGCTGGGACCCTGGAACCCTTAACCTACACCAGGGCTAGTTCAGCTGTATTTTGCTACCCTATACTAAAGTAAACTCCTCAAATCCCCCTATCCTAGAGTAGCTGTTTTCCAGAAACTACTGAGGTCACTAGCGCAGTCTAGCCAAAACAAAACCTTATATCACAATCCCTAGTCTAGATAAAATCTTTAACCAACTGATCAGTTTCCTGAAAAATGATACCCTATTCTAGACCCGAACACTCTGATTTATATACCCTATCCTAGAGTAAACTGCTTGAAAACCATACCCTTCACAATGGCACATACCTATATAGTCCATATATGGCAGTATACCCCCCTCTGCCGGGAGTACCATATACTGTTTGACCATGGTGATGGGACCAACAGACCAGGTTATTCTGGGGATAGTTTACAATGATTATTACTGTGCAAGCTGGGAACAGAAATTATTAAGCTTAAAATATTATAAATTTTAGTCACTACACTTCAGAGAAATATTTTGAGCTTTTACCTCTTTGAGATTCTTGTATACAGTGGATTGAATAAGGATCATTGTCATATTGTATGATTTTTTTTTTCTTTTCACTTACAGGCCTATTTGCTGCAGCCCATGATATGAACATTGAATGGGTGATTGTTAAAGGGATATCACATTTTTCTGATGATAGCAACACTCCTGATGATTCCTGGAAGTCATTTGCTTCTATCATGGCAGCTTCTGTTGTGTCTAACATGTTAAATAATCCTGTTGTTTTTAAAGAATGGCCTCACTACGAAGGTATGTCACATCCCACCCTGTACTAGTTATTGATTATTAATTAGTGATGAATTTTCTGTTCAGATATTTTTATGTAGACTGGTTCAATAATTATTATCCTTGGTTCACATTTTTGTCTGTTTCAAACTCAAATCAAACATTAATATTAAAATACCAAATAACAAAGGCCAAAAGAAAAATTTGTTTTTAGGGCTTTTCAAATTTACAATACTTTTTTTCATTACAGACTTGACAACAAGGAATCAGCCAGAGACAACCACAAAGCCAGACAAACAGATACCAGGTAACTATCCTGTCAGTGAAATTACACTATATCCAGGAGTTTTTCCAGATTAAAATGATTGAACCCTGGTTTCAGTAGAAATAATTCTAATCTTTTGATGTAGTTGTTTGTCGCATCTAGAGCACAGGTTCTCTTCTTATTGTGAGAGATGTCTTTGCCAAGAGAGCAGTCTATTTTAATTTGCCTGGTGTTTTATAACCCATTTTTCTTTCATGGAAATTTTGCTGAAAAATGCTGTTGGAAGCTCATTTTTTATCCATTTTCTGGTCCCTATCTAGCCAAAAAGATCAGCCAAAATTTTCTAAAATGCTGTAAGTTCTACACTACCTTTTGTTCCTTATGCTAAAATAAAGTTAATGTAAGTGTTGGTTTGAAAATTGACACAGCGCCCCCTCAACTTTTCCCTGTTTCTTTCTCTCCTCCCTACTAATTCTATCACTTTCCCTGCCCCATTTTTGCCTTATCTTGGGGATTTACTAGGCTTCTTTCAGGTGAGACTACCCTGGGTGCCAGAGACTTTCCTAGCGCGGTTTCCGGTTTCTGTCAAGTCTTTATAGTGACCCGCGTTTTTCTCGTGGCTTCGCTGCTCGTGGCTTCGGCCTACGAAGAAAATTCCCGCCGCACGCGAGAAAAACCTCTGGTACCCAGGGTAAGGTGAGACATGTTTTCGGGAAAACATTTAGCATCATCAAATTATTTTGAAGGAAGAGCAGATGAGCAATGAATTTAACTTCTTGAAAGAAGTTGTCTTTGTTTCAGCTGTGTTTGAATTATTTCAATAATTTAGGAACTGTCTAAGGAAATCCACAAAATTGAAAATGATGTTGTGGTATAGTCTCAGTCTATCTATCCACCCACACACCCACCCATCTACAGCTAGCTCTGACCTGCTCACCATATGAGTCACCCATAGCTCAGTGGTACCGGTATCTGGAAGGTTGTGGGTTTTATTCCAGTTGAGGTTTTGGATTTTTTTTTTTATCATTTCTTTGTTGTACCTAATTTTTATTTTTTGGCAATCATTAAGTTATTGAAAAAAACTTCTTGGAATTGACAAAAAATCTTTGTTAACAGATGCTGTATGCCTTGAGGAGTGCCAGAAACAGCTGCGATCACTTTACGAAACCAGTAGCAAAGTCAAAATCATTCCATGGGACCAGAACTCTGCTGTTGATATTGATGAGATCTACACAGACTTGTCTTGGTTCAAGGATCACAGGACACCCAGTGGAGTAACACAAAAGGAACTTAACCACTACACTGAGATTTTTGGCAGTAAAGGCCCTCATCCTGCGCTAAAGCGAATTTTGGTTTATGGACAGCCAGGTAAGTGAGTGAATTCAGAGTAGGAATTGTCTTAATTTAATTAACAGGAGAAAAAAGTATTCTCTGTCCTCGCCTGCCTTTATTACTTTGCATTCCCAACCAAAACCACCATGCTATGCAGGCTAGCGAAAAACAAGAACACAGGCACCCATTGTTCTACTTGTATAATAATTATTAATCCAGCGATTTATCAGCTGGTGCATACGTGATGTGCAGGTTTCTTGAGTTTTTTGCTCACATTATCAACATTCCAAGTGGGGTAATTTTTCACCATACTGTCAAACCCAATGAAAAGTTTGGTTTGTTGCCATTGTAAATAAATTAAAAGTTTAAACAAAGTTTTTCTGTTAATCAGTCTGATAATAAACAATGTATTCAATTGACTGTAGAGCAATCAGAACATACACTGTAGACTCCAGTTAATGTTGTGATAATGGTAATAATATTGTGACTCAATTAATCTGAAATTCAAGTTTATTAAATGTATGCTAAAAGGATAAACTAAAAAAAAATCTTCCAAGGATAAAATTGTACCACAACCTTCACAATAGACTAATGGTCACTGGCAGTTTGGCCCAGTTGCTTGAAAGCCGTAGCACAAACTTGGGGTTAAATTTTAACCTGGGTTTCTTTTTCTTTTTAACAAAAGCATTTTCTTGGATAATTTTCTCTATTCTTTTTAGAATATCTAATCATCAAATTTTAGATAAAAAGATTTAGACTGAATTTGCTTTTCAAGCTTTCATTTCTGAATTCAAATTTCGCACTAACCGGCCCTGGGTTGATCTTAACCCAGGTTTGAACAACCTGGCCCTAATAATAATAATAATATTAATAACTTTATTTTAGTGTCAATGTATTAAGCTTAACAGTTAGCTAATTGGGGACACTTTCCTAAGTGCTGGCACTAATCTACTACATGATTTTTAAAAATAGTCTGTGACTTGTACTATGAAGGATTCAATTCCATTGTCTTTATGAGAACAATTTTGAATATGTAAAAGAGATACCATTATCGACAAATGTAACTGTATGTAAATGTATCTAAGAATTCCAAAATGCCTCCTTTGAGGCAGGGAAACTTATTTTTGGTATAACTTAATGGAGGCAAAATGCCACCCTGCCACCCATTAGTTGCTCTCTCTGCATTGGTTTAAAAAGTTTAAACATAATTCCGTAAAAAATAAAATAAAATATATAAATTCTCCTAAAGTTGTATGACAATTATATATTCACATGTTAATATTTTAGATTCCACTTCACATGACATAACAAATGATAAAAGTAAACTGGCAAATCTGTTGAAGACGTATTGACAGTTTGTTGTTATTGTCACCTAGGTATCGGCAAGACTGTTTTCACCAAGAAAGCAACTTTTGACTGGTCCCAGCAGAGATATTCAGAAACATTAGGAGCATTTGATCTTGTCCTTCTGGTGAGATTACGTGACGTTGGTAATCTCCAAGATGTTCCGTCCATTCTGAGGGCTTCTGAAGTGCTGGATGGTGATGGTACAATTTCCGTACACAACCTGTATGATTACGTTCGTCGCCATCAAGAAAAAGTCTTGCTTATCTTGGACGGCTATGATGAGTATGTTTATAGTTCAAAAAACGAGTCGCCTGTCCTCAAAATCTGGAAAAAAAGCAAGTTAAGAGATTGTTGTGTTGTAATTACTTCAAGGGAAATGAAAGCTGAAACGTTGACAAATTTTAGTGATGCTCAATTCAAAATTGACGGCTTTAATCGTCAACGTCAAGAAGAGTTCGCTCGTAGATTTTTGAAAGATGATAAAGATATTCAAGAGTTTTTTAGGTACTTATGGCAGCACAACCTAAGGGGACTAGCACAAATTCCCCTACTGCTCTTAATGTTGTGCTTGCTCTGGAGGAAAAAAACACGTGAAGAACTACCAAAAGAACGCGCAGACATCTTCGCCCAGTTCATGACAACCATGTTTGATCACATGTGTGAAAAAAAGTCTGCTGAAGAATCGCTTTCTGCCAAAGATTACTCAGATGAATTATACGCATTAGGACGCTTGGCCTTTGAAGCCCTTTTGCAAGGCCAGCTTTATTTCCCTGTTAGTCAGTTACCTGCTGGCTACAGTTCGATCGAGAGGCTGAGTGAAGTCGGCCTTTTTCAGGTTTTAAATATGGCGAGTTTAAATCGTGAAAAAGGCGTGTACTTTATTCACAAATCCGTTCAGGAATACCTGGCTGGGAATTTCCTGAAAGAAGAGCTGACATCTAAAAAGACTGAAAGTACAAATTCCCTCTTGAAGTTAGACTCAGTTGAAAAGATCCGAGAGGTGATTGAGGTTTTAAAATTTGCAGTTCAGTTGTCAGAAGAAGCCGCGCGCGAGATCGTGATTCACCTTGGAATGAAGAGCGGACTGAAAGAGTTCAAATTCGACAACGAAACACCGTCACAGGGGGACTTGTCAGAAGAACAAACATATTTTATTAATCTTTGTAATGAGTTATTTTTCTACTGCTCAGCTGAGACAAGAAAAAACCTCTTTCCTACATTTCTTTCCTCTTTAGGAGGAGTTCTTGTAATTAATGCAAAGCAGCTAAATGTTATCGTACAGGAAAAATTAGTTCAAACTACCGAAAAAACACCCAACTACGTTTTTTTTCCTGATAGAACTATTATTAATAAGTATACAGAGAAGGACTATAGTAATTTAATCATTTTAACACAACAATTAGCAGCAGAATTTTTAAGCAACTTAACATGGCGTAGGATTGATGAATTTTTTTTAAAGAAAGAAGAAAACAACACTCACCTTTATTTAGCTAAAATTGTTAAAGATGAACGCAAAGGCATTCCTTTTCCTTGTGATATAATAAAGGCGCTAATAAGTAAACAAGAGACAACAAAGAAGACAAAGATGAATGGTGATGAGTCAAGTGAAGAGAGCAGCAGCAGCTGTTGTTCAAAGCGTCATGGTCTCTCCAGGGTTCGGAGGATTGAAGCTTGGATGGTGAACAGGTCAGAAGTGGAACTGATCAGTGAGATGATGCCGTTTATCACCGCTCCACACGTGATATATGTTTGGGGTGAACACGGTGAAGTGTACGATGCTGAGGTAACAGAGTCTCTGCTGAGGAGCATCCAAGTAACACACAAACTGAAGGAATTAACACTCTGTGATATCAATGTAACATCATCACCTGCTGTGGAGTTTATCAACAATGTATTACAAAAAGCACCAAACTTGGAGGAGCTCGACATGTCATGCAATCCTCTTCTGGGTGCAGGAGTAGACAGCGTGATTAAACATCTCAGCTGCGCTCCTCACCTGAAGACACTGAAGCTTTGGGATGTGAAGATGACTCCACAGCAGGTGATGGATCTGACATCAGCCATCAAGCAGCACGGCAACATCACTTATCTGGAGTCATACTACCACGTAAGTTTTCCAATTTTATCGCAATTTGTTTCTTTATTGTTTGTTTACAGTTTATTTCTACTCAGCTCTTGCCTTTCGCCATTTTCATTTCTTTGTCATTTTTATACTCGACAAAACACGAGATTTACTTTTGAAAACAAATCACAAACTTTAGCAGATTCAAAGTATCATTTCAAATTCATTCCTTTCAATTGATTAAACTAAATCCCAAAAAATGTTTTAACCGAGAACAAGTAAATTAATCTGAAGGTGTTTTCACTGTGCAAAATAATGGATCAGCGAGCAGATATGAAATTTCTCTTTGAGTCTGGTTTAACTCGATGTGAGCTCACTTAACAAACTTGTGATATATGTATTAACACAAAAATTCCATAGTATTAATTTCTCAATCAATTTTAATTCATTACTTTTTATAAAATGATGAATAACAAGCATAAAGTCACAATATGTTCTGTTCATGTTCAATTCAAACAAACAATTTGCAAAAATTAAGAGAAAAAAAGTTAACCACTTACAGTTTCACTTTTATCGATAAGGTTTTCGTAAAATCAGCTAAACTCAAGTAAGGTTTCTTTGAGAGTCCAAAAAACGAAGAAGTGTTTTTAGAGCTGTCCTTTTGTTTGAATGTCCCTTGTGTTTCGGTAAATGCCTGTCCTCCGGTAAATAATCTCACTGTAGCGTAGGTTTTTGAGATAGCGTTCCACAAAAAATATAATTCCTCTGAGACACTTTGGTTGAAATTTAACACCATACATTTAATCATATGTAAAAGCACTCCTCTATGGTACTAGCTGTCTATTTTTGTCGGTTACTTGTTTTCCAGTTTTACGACGAACACAACAAATCCTGCGTCACTTCGCGTCTTGTATGAATGAGTTGAAGTTCATAAATGTAGTTTCCTTTAGCTTGCACAAATCCTTTGTCAAATTCCTGAGTACATGAGACGAATTTTCCTCTTAACTGGCATTTTACGGTGTTTTCTCATTCTTTTTGTGTCCATCTTGAGTATTTTTGAGTTGAAAGTTTTCTTTGATGAGCAAACTCAACTGAAGTGAACAACAAACTACAAAATCAACAAAGTGTCATTCAAAGTGGCGTGAGAGAAGGCTTGTGACGTAGCGACAGCTGATTGGTTATATAACTACCCACGTGGTAGAATTTTCCCGCCTTTCGTTTGGCAGCGCAGCAAGCGTTTCTTCAGACGAGACGCAGGTTTTTTTGCGCCTCCCCTCCCAACCCCCACTAAGGAAAAACCGATCTGTGAGAATTTTATTAGACCGAGAAGTTAGTAGAAGAAACAGCGTGAAGAAAGGGCTCCAAGGTTTCAATAATTCGCACATTTTTAGAGTATGTTATTTGATTTTGCTGTTTTGAAAGTCTTGTATGCAAATTTTAGAGGTTGAAAAGTATAATGTGGTCTTAACATGTAAGCTGTGAGCACCTTTAGAGGTGCGTCCAAGAAGTCAGATGTATTTTTTGTTGGTTTTGTCGTTTTCCCCTAGCGACATTTACACTAGCGACGGAGTCGGAGTTGGAGTCGTAAGATCGCTTATGACCTAGTGAAAATCAAAAATCGGAGTCATAAGCGGAGTAACCTGAGATCAGGCTCTGTTTTCGTTTCGCTTTGAAAATTACATTCGTGCGGGCAAGGCGATTTTTTTAGTGGTAGCCGTTAGAGAGAATGCATGAGAACCGCTAAAATTGGGCCTGATCTCAGGTTATAAGCGGAGTCATAAGCGCGCCGGAATCGGAGTCAGAAGAATTAGAGCATTTCCATTTCTTCCGACTCCGCTTACGTTCCGCTTATGATCTAGTGAAAACCAGGTTGTCAGAATCGGAAGCAGAAGCAGAAGGAAAAGCCAATCCCGATGCACGGTCTCACGCTTTGTGATTTGTTTGGTTCTTCCGCTTCTGCTTCCGACTCTGACAATCTGGTTTTCACTAGATCATAAGCGGAATGTAAGCGGAATCGGAACGTTGTTTTCACTAGATCATAAGCTCTACGCTTTTGATTACGACTCCGACTCCGACTCCGACTCCGACTCCGACTCTGTTGCTAATGAAAAGCAGCCTTCATTTGGAGACACTCACTAGAACGTTTTTTAGGGCTGCTGTACTCGCAAGACCATTCGGGACGAAATTACTGTTTAGGGCATGCGGATTTTAAGACTTTGAACTAAAATAAGGTCTCGGAATGGATTGCAAAATGACTAAAATCTCGTTTAGTCCTAAATATAACTAAATTAAAGAAGAAAAACTTCTTCGTCGCAAGCAGAAATTTCTACAGTACTACTTTGACTGTGTGTTTTAGAAATGACCTCTTTTCGGGGTGGAATCGGCTTGAGCTTTCCTCATATTGGTCTCAAAGTTCCAACAGTGATCAACATGAATTTTCTCTTAACAATACCAAAACATTATCAAAAGAAAAGGTTAGAAGAAGTAATAAACTGACGAACAAAGGAGGAGAAGTACTTTGATCTTTTATCAAGTTCTCTCAACTAATTCTACAAGGCAATGTATGGACACTAGTGTGGAGAATTTGTATTTGGATATTGGGGCTTAAACGGTTATGGGTGAAATTCTAGTTTTCCGATGAGTATTCACGCCCTCTTTAAATAGTAGTTAACCCTTGGGGTTATTTTTACCCTTTAATTGCTTATCACTTAAAGAAAGGGTTTAAGATCTAGACTACACTTTCGATCTTTTAAACGTTGCTTTAAAAGTTGAATTGTGTTTGTGTTATTTTGTGATTTGTTGTAGAATCCTGACGGGAACCCCTGGCCTGAACATTACTGGCCATCAGAAGACCTTTGGAAAAAGAAGCACCCCAGTCTCTTTTCTCACTCATCAAATAAATCACAGCCGCAAAAGCAACAGGTTGGTCATCAACTTTGGCAAAAGAAAATAGGGTACTATGATATTTCCTGGGTTTGGTTATTTCTTGGGAAAAAAAAGAAAAAAAAACACATTGCGTTTAAAAAGGTATGGTTTTTCTTCAGCTTTTCAGGAGTTTACTTATTATAAACTGAAACTGAGGGAACAGGAAATGTGTTTTGTATCATAGTAGTTTCAAGCTGTTTTTTTTTTTTTTAGTCGCGATTTCTTAAAACTGAGACAAATCAAAACAGTTCAGTTGAATATAAGTCTTATTAACTGTAACAAGTTATTTCTGTGGTTTTAGGCTCTTTGCTCACTAAGTCATACCGAAACCGACGGTTCTCGTACAAAGATGGCTTTTAGTTGTGGAAGTTACTGTCCGAACAATATTGCAACGGACTGCAATCCGTTTCGGAAATACCTCTGGTTTTGGAAACGACCTGAAGTTTCCTTCATACGTTTTTTACCGTTTGGGAAGTCGATTTAATCGTGCACTTTGAAAAAACTTGCTGATTTTCGTACGTGAAGTTTTATACAAACCGGAAGAAAATGTGGATCTTTGAGATGTTTATTGACTGGCAAATTTCACCGCTGTAGTGGAGCATTTTTACGCATTTTAAGCAAACATGGAGCTTGAGGCTTGGATCAAACCAGTCAACAGTAGACTGAGGTTCTGTCTTTGTAACTTTAGTCTTGCTTTCATTACTAACAGAAGAGTTTCTTTTTGCTCAATCATCTTAATTATTGGCTTATTAACTCTTAGCAGTCTTAGCCGTTCAGGTGGTGGAAAGTGTCACTCTCCACTATTAGATCCGAATGCCTGGAACAGGCTCAACAACTCTTTCTTTCTTTTACCACTCGCACAGATTCCGGCAGCGACTCGCCTCAGTATTCACGACTCACCATTCTTCGCTCACGAACAAGACACCGTGGCAACATTTCCAGCGCCTCCTGATCCTACTGGTAAGGTTTTTTGTCCGACAGCCCTCCCCCCTTCCCCCATAGTTTCTTGCCTTGCTAATAACAGATGTAACAAAACCTATTGGCGATTAACTCCCTGAGCACTAATAAGACGTTGTACATTCAGGGTCACCCAACGACAATTTTCGGAAAATTATCTGTTCGGAAGACGATTTGAGATCTAGAATTTTCGGATCATTTCCTGTAAAATTTCTTGCTTGCCTGCCTCTCCTAGGATTTTCGAACATCAAAAAAGTGGTATAATTGCCCATTTTTAACGGATTTTTACCCTAAAAAGGTCACCTAGAATTTTCGGAAGCCTTTTTTCTGGCTGAAATTTTCGAAAAGGTAAATTTTGATCCCTATAATTTTCGGATCACTATACTTTCAGCTAGGAAATCCGAACAGATGAAAAATTTTTAGGGGATAAAAATAAGCCTTTATCTACCGTTTTAATACTAAATTACGTTCAACAATGCTATGTTTATGTGGTTTTGAACTATATTCTTGTTGGGTGCCCCTGTACATTTAGTTCGTTGTGGGCAAACGTCAGTTTTCTTTCTGAGATTTCCTTCTTTTTAAATGATTGCGGTGTCGACGTGCACCAAGTTGCTGTTGTCACATCCCGGTCGTACTTTAGGTGAAAGAAATCGGACTTTCACGATTATGTTTATTTATTAATCTGTTTATAGACCAAAAAGCTACTCTACGTATTACTAACCGGCTGCCATATACAGAAACGAAAGGCATATTAATAATTAAAACAGTCACTGAGTTTAAAAGGAAAACCTACTCGTTCTCCTGTTCCGATGTAGACATTTTCCGGTGTTATCCAGAGTGGGCGTTGTTTGCACTAATTATTTAAAAATATGTAGTAAAACAGGGGGGACATTTTATTATTAAGAAATGATAAATGTTCGAGAGGTCTATCAGTCAGAAATCAATGGTTTCCTTTATACCATCTTGTGACTTTGGATCCTTATTTCTTCTTTTAGTTGATCCAATGTTAGCAGAGCGGTCCATTCCTACAGTGCATGGATCCAGTCACGGTCTGACACCTGCTGGACCCTTCAGTGGTAACCCGCTTCATAACGTTCAGTATCCACAGCATTACCCCTCCGCTGATATCTACACCTATCACCGCAGTGCTTCGTCCACTATCTTTACACCTGGAGGATCCATGGGTAACGATTCTTATCTTTTCAGAGGTTCTGGCCAGTCTACAGTCACACAGGACGAACCCGAGGTGGGTTGTTTGTCTGTTAAGATTTTATTCACGAAATTGTTTTTAAACATTGGCTAGGATTTATATTTGCCGAGAGAGATTTCATGGGTCAGGCGCCTTCTCAGTAAGCAATTGTGTTAATAGTTATTGAAATTCGCTGGGCTATAAACATGTTAGAACTGGACGTCCAACCCTGTAACTAACCTCTCTATTAAGCTAAAAACTCTGCCGGTAAGACGGCCACTGGGTGCTGGTCCCTTCTCTGCAGTTTTTTAATCATTCTACTGTAACTAAACTCTATATACTAGTAAGACAGACACCACTCTGAGACGGACAGTTGGAGTTGGTATCCATCTCAGAAAGAGTTAACTTTAGACAGAAAGGGTCATGCTCAGTATATCCAAAGAGTCAGCTGGTTGTTTTCCAGATCATACACTTAGTTGAGTGATCATAAAACTGTCAAATGATTGTTAGCAGGAGATCACACGTTTACCTTGGTTCCGTACCGATATTGATTAGTCTGTCTTTGGTCCCTTTTTCAGAGGGACATACTCCTTAGTACTCAGGACGTGCCGTCACACGATCCTGGAACAGCGAGACCAGTTCCAGTACCTCTCCATTCTGCTGGTAAGGTTTCCATCCATGTTATAACTAAAACAAAATTCTGCAATTTAAAAGGCTAGTAACGCCGTGACTGACTAGAGCACAAGTAAGACAATGTACAGGACTTTACGTAGTGTTGGAACTTGTATTAAACGGTCCTGTCTTCCTTACTACAATACACAGATACAGGCCCGGGTTTTTTTAACAGTTGGATAGCGCTATCCACCAGAAAAATCACCAACCAGAGTATAAGTATTTGAGAAACCGACACCTTTATGCATTAGGTAGTGAGATACCCAGTAAATAGCACTATTTACCTTTTGAACTACTGGGGCTGAAGGCACTTTTCTTCTACAAGTCTGTCCTCTAATATCTCCAAACTGGACATTTTCTTGTGTTTACTCAACTCCAGTGGACGTTGCTTTAATTTCTAATATTGTTAAATAATCTAAGAAGGCGTACAATGCTAGAAAAGGAGAAATCTGCTTGGAGACCTTTATGTAAACCTGTGGGATCTTATTTTTTTTTCTCTCTTAGGAGCTCCCATTCCTACGTCGCATTTCTCCAGCCACAGCCTGGCACCCTTCAGTGAACACCCTCACCGTTACAGAGTGTTGGAATTACCATTTCAGGCATGGCAACTGCGAAGTACATTTCCAGGATACCCGTATCCCCGCAGTTCTGGCATTTCTACAGATGGTCTTACTCCGGTTCACCCTGGATATCTTCCCCTGCGTGGAATGCAGGATCTACCTCAACAGAGAGTTCAGCCCCAAAATACAACGCCGTGTTATTTAAATCTCGAAGGTTCCGCAGTCAGTTACCCGCAAGAAATCCCGGGATTTCTTCCCCCACATGGAATGCAAGGAGCGCGTCTTCATGGATTGCAACCACAAAGTACGATGTCAGATGATCCATATCTCATTGCTCCTGGCGAATCAACCCATACCCACTCCACAGTTAATTTGGAAAGTCTCCTCCCTCATGGAACGCTGAGATCCCCGCAGTATGGATTTCATTCGCAAAGTGCAAGTCCAAGTTATCCGCATCTTCAATTTAGTGGTCCTGTTACGTCTTCAGTTACGCAACCGCCAGTAATCCCCGGATATTCTTATCCGTACGGAAACCGCATGAGAGCCCCACAACAGGCAACGCAACCGCAAAGTGCAAGTTCAGGTGATCTGCATATTAGTGGTCCTGTTACGTCTTCAGTCGCGCACCCGCCAGTAATCCCCGGATATTCTTACCCGTACGGAAACCGCATGAGGGCCCCCCTGCAGACACCGCAGCCGCAAAGTACAAGTTCAGGTGATCCGTATCTTAGTGGTCCAATGTCTTCCGTCATACACCGGCCAGTAATCCCCGGATATTCTTCCTATCCCTACGGAAACTACATGAGAGCCCCGCTGCTGGTACCGCCACCGCAAAGTGCAAGTCCAGGTGATCCGCTTCTTAGTGGTCCAATGTCTTCCGTCATGCACCCGCCAGTAATCCCCGGATATTCTTCCTATCCCTACGGAAACTACATGAGAGCCCCGCTGCTGGCACCGCAACCGCAAAGTGCAAGTCCAGGTGATCCGCATCTTAGTGGTCCAATGTCTTCCGTCATGCACCCGTCAGTAATCCCCGACTTTCTTTCTCCGCGCGGAATACTAAGTTCACCACCTTCTGGTACACAGAGAGGAAGTCCAGAAGTTCAACACTAACGAAATCCTTCGACTGAATCTGGTACTCGGCCAAGCTACTAAGCGGGAATTAATTTCTTATGGTGTAGAATTGTATAACTTTTCCATTTTAAGCCTAATTTGTGCTGCACTTCTTTTTAATATGAAACGTGTATTTATCACTTTTTGCCAAAAAATCTGTTATTCTTCAGTACAATTTGGCAGCGAACACAACACATTCGTTTGAATGAATCTAACGCAAGTTTATAAGCAACAATACTATAGTGTACAAAAATTCCCAAGAATGTAAAATATGTATAACATCTAATTTTTCCTCAGTTGTATTTCAGTACATTTCTTGTTTATATATTATTGTAAATAGTATTTAATAAATGTTTTTGACTGGGAAAAACTGTAGTGCTGCCGTGCGATTTGTAATGTCTTTAAGTCTGGTACTGTTTCTCTGTTCCCCCGCCCTTGTCAGAGAATTTCCTGAGGGGGGGGGGGGGGGGGGTAGTATCAAGAAGGTTTAGCGGCTTTTAAGTCAGAACGCCTTGTAAAATTTGATTAGTCACTCTAATCGTTTTACGCGTCATCTTCTCTGTGCAGTGCTAAGAAAATGAATTGTAAGGAGTACTTCGAGCTTTCCCTGAAATTACTGAAACAGTTTTTCAAGCTTTGTAACAAAAGTAGTACTCCTTTGCTTCTACTCCAGTCTCCCACTCAACGCTCTTCTGGAGCACACTGTGCCCACCCACTCCACCCTTCACATACCGTAAAATTCCGAATGTAAGCTCCTCCAAATATAAGCCCCCCAAAATCGTAACGCAAAAAACCCTCCGTTAAATCGCCCCTCCGAATATAGGCCCCCAGGGGGGCTTGTACTTGGAATTTGCCCTAGAATACAAATTAAAACAAAGTAAAAATGGTAAATTTCCTTTCAACTATAAGCTAGCCCAATCGATTTTGAAACGCAAATTTCCCTCCGTACATAAGCCCCTCCAAAAATAAGCCCCTCAAAAAGCGCCTTTGAAAAGTATAAGCCCCGGGGCTTATTTTCGGAATTTTAAGGTAACCTGTGCGTCTGACTATGTTAGCAGAGATGACCAAAGGTCACAATAAATCGTCTATAAATTCAAATTGTGATGATTTTCCATAGTTATGCATAATTTTAATCGGGTCCACAGCATTTTTAACGGAAAGAAGCTCGGTATTTTGCGAACAATGAGCAGGTCGTTACTTTAACGAAGTATCATTTTGTACACCCTTGCCCATGTTTCTAGTCATCGGTAAATGAAATCCTATTCAATAAAACAGAGAAACAAACAGAAAAACAAACAAACAAACAAGAAAAAACACCTCGAACGTTTGACGACATTGGAGGCCCAGCCAACCCGTAGCCCCAAAAGAGACTTTCTCCTTTTTTTATTGCATTCCTACTGAAAATAATGTGGTTCGGTCGTGGTTTACTTAAGTAATACCATCATCTTTGTGAAGATACGGAGAACCAATGGGAAAGTGGGACGGTAACTTGCATCATATTTGGCAAGTTAAGAATTGCACCTTCGTTAATATCCTGTCGGTTCCAGCAGAAGCGGATGTAGCATGAGTGACAAGCGTAAATCATCAAAACCATTCCAAGAACGATAGCTCCACCGATGATTTCATGCACAAAATCATCATCATCGTCTGTGGTTTGGCGAATTTGCGGTGTTTTTTTTTGGGTAGGGCGGTGGGTGCCGCCTTAGCTGCCCCTGTGGAAAATATGAGCGAAATGGGTTCTAGCGAGTTCACTGCACGCGCGCAGCCATGTTCGTACTTATGTTCGTATCAATCTCGACCCAGAGCTCTTCTGTGCATGTAGAGGAGACAGATCAAGAGCTCTTACGCGCGCATTCCCAAACCCGTGAGCACTGGGGTCGGGAATGTGTTCGTATGGGTACATTCTCGTACTTAGGGCCCGTCGGTTTTTTGAAGTGGTCTTCGAAGGCCAACCGAGGCGGGGTGGCTCTAGTGACGAAAATGGCCGATGTGTACGAGCGCCGGGGCGTTTGCAGAACAATGGTATTTTTGCAAAATCACGCAAAATTTTAAAATATTAAGTTTAGGCAAGTACTTGTTCTTTACGAGATATCCGAATTACAAGTATTGTAATTGTATCATTGTTTAAATGTAAGTACCATCGTTTTTAGGCATTCCAGTGAAAACATTGATCATTATTATTATTATTATTATCATTATTATTATTATTATTGTTATTATTATTATTATTATTATTATTATTATTATTGTTATTATTATTATTGTTGTTGTTGTTATCATTTAGTACCGAAAATTCCAAAACTCAGAGCGAAAAACCAAGATACAAACGAATATTTCGTCCGAATCACTCAGACGTCATCAGCGTTGTGAGGTGACAGGTTGCGTAACAGAATCCCCAAGGGAGGATTGTAAATTGGTGTTAGGTCCAGTCCCTCATCCATAATCAGGCTGGGTTCCTTTGTTTTATAGAAATGGCCTCCTTCACTCTGCGCTTGATGCTGCTGTTTTCGTCAGGTAGTACTTTTACATTGTGTGGGTTGATGTTGTGACCTGTGGCCTGGCAATGCTCATAAACGGCAGAAATATCATGGGACTGGTGTTCTTTGATCCGGGTACTTGACAAAGGCAAGGGACCTGGCGGTTTGGCCACTGTAATTGTCCGGACAACACCATCCAGTGCGGAGTCAAGGAAGCCATTGCCATTAAACAAAGGAAACTCTTCCTGAATAGATATGAGGGCCTGGACCTACCACCAATTCTGTGCAGACCTACGCCCAAAAAGAGCAAAAGCGACATTTTGCCTTAAATTCGATCTGCTTTTGATAAGCTCTATTTTGGCATTTTGTGGCCAAAAGAGCTAGAGGGACTAGATTGATTATTTTAGTTCGTCGCACTAGTTGAAGTAAATGTGGACTTAAAAAACAAATACAGAACTATCGTGGCTACATCAAGGTGTCAAGGTGTCAGTCTATTGGGGAGGGGGAGGTGGGGACGCCCAATAGATCTCATTATCAGTATCCCGTATTAAGATGTGATCCAGTATTTGGGTGAAATTTTTTGCTCAGTATTCCAGTTTTTCCCCAGTTTTCTCCATTTCGAAACCCAGAAGTATCTCCATGTTCTATTCATAAGCATTAACCCATTCGCTCCTGGAGATTTTGCCGAAAAACGCGTTTTGAAGCTAGTCGAGTGGTTTTCTGGTCACTGTCGTGCTATAAAGAGCTAAAACTTACCACAAACCGGTTTACAGGTCGTACACTTCATGGCCTTTTGATCCACATGCAAAATATCAGCTTGCGAACTTCGGGCATGCGCAGAAAGCAAAATTTTGACAGTTTTTGGGTTTAAAAGTGACACAGCAGTCTTGACTTTTACTTTTCGCTTTCTCTCCTCCCCTCTTTTTTCGCTTTTCTTGCCTCATTTTTTTTTCTCTTGCTGGGCATTTAGTAGGCTTCATTTTGGTGGGAATAGTTTTTAGGAAAGCTTTTAGGATCTTAGGATTAGGTGAAAGGAAAGGTAGGTGGGCAATGGAACAAGATTTTCATGGAGATTTTCAGGTCAATGTTACATGGTTTTTTGCCTCTTTCTCCGGTGTCCTTGACTGAATTGTGCTCATTCTGGTATGGTTTGAAAGATCTCTTCACTCTGCACAAGTTAGCGGACAAAGTTGTCCTTGACCATTAAAACTGATGACGTCAAAAAGGGTAGAAAGGACGTGGATCCGCATGGGCGGTTACGGACGGTTCAGGAGCGAATGGGTTAAAAAAGGAAAATGTAAATAGTATTGCAAGCATCATGGACGAAAAACAACAAAAAACCTCTGAAAGAGACACAACATGGCAGGATGCAAGAACCCAGAGTATAAATGCTGAGTTTATAGGCTGCCTCAATACTTCGATTCAGACTGACAGAGTTCACATGTCTCCCCATTGCAGTACTACATGTATGTTTGCACAAGGTGAGACACACAAAAGAAAATCAAATCAGCTTGGCTGCCCAAAGAGCGAGAAATTAACTCAGTTTACTAGCCTCTGGTGGGGCTCCAAGAAGCTAGCCCAAACTGTATTCAGTCTGTTATTTTTCTTAACAAGCCATAAAACTTTGCTTTACCATTGGGCTACTTGTAAAGAAAACAACACAAAAGCCCAACTAATGTTTTGCCAGCCCCTCATTGTGGAAGAATTTTTACTTGGTTTGAGTTAACATGTTGAAATGAATGCTAGGAACACGTTAACAAATTAAAAGAACTCTGGGTATAAGCTTGCAAAGTGAATTCAGTTTAAAATTTCCGCTTGTTGCAGTAAACTAATTGCTTCTCTTTGGCTCCTCAGTTATCGTAGAGACTACAATAACATTTTCAGTAGATTAAACCTCAAAGAAGGTACCCAGTATATCAAGATATTGAGGTGTATTCCAAGTTATTCTTTTTCTTTGTCAAAATCAATTTTGCATCAATAGACTGCCACATTATTAAGAATTAAGGATCAATGACATTCAAATATTTACGTTTATTTTATGCGGTGGGGATCACTGGACTGCAAGATAACTGTCAATCATATTAAGCCGAGTCCTTCACACAACAACAGGACTGTGTTCCAGCAGTGCTAGATGACCCCTGTTGGTGACATAAGCTATTCACAAAAGAAACGTGCTATGCTCCCCGGATTTTATAGTTTCAGAGCTTTAGGGATCCCTATGATTGAAGATTACAGTTGCTGTCATTTGCAAGAAATACCAAGCAACAATGTTGTGATATTATTTCAGCAGAATGTTCAATATTGCTACCCCAGGAACTGACTCAACAATGCAAGAACATTGCTGAACATCCAACAACTAACATTACTAGGGTCTAACAAAACTAGTTTTTTTACCAAATATTTTTGGTATTTATTGCTGACCAACTATAATAATTATTACCCAAAATTGTTGGAATGGGTTTTCTTCTGAGCATGTATCTGTATTTATATAAGTACATCTGTAGACAATTTTAAGTACAGTATTAACAACGGTAATACTGTAAATGTAACATTTCAGACTTTCATACTAGTAACCATTTTCATACTAAGTAATCACAAAGAGAAATCCAATTTCTAGTATCAAAAATTGTTCATTTTTAATTGTGACTCGTACTAGTTACCAGTAAGTATGATTCATGACAATATTCCTCACAATTTACCCATTTTAGTAGTGCAAAACATCATAAGATTCCAGCAGTCTGATAGTAATCCCTTTGGCATGACTTTAAAGGTACTCAGAATGTTCTGCTGTTATTCGTACTGTTGACAAAAATTGTCATAAAAATGTCAAAGAGAGTACTTTGACAATCAAACATGCCATCTAGAAAGAGCAATGCTTCAGAAGGTAATTTGTAAATAGGTTATCATCTGAATGCAAACATCTCTTATCTTACTTGGATTGTCAATGAATGAGGCATCTCTGATGTTTAACTCTGTTGACAAATCCTAGTGTTTACTCCTGTTTTGCCGAACACAAATCTTTTAGCGTCTTTCTTCTTCTTTTTGCGTCTTCTTGGTTTCTTCTTCTTTTTCTTAAATCCTGTCATAAAAAATAGAACAATGTTTAAAGATCCATAAATGTTGCATGAGCATGTTCTTAGCATCATGATTATTACATGCAGCCTTGCCTGTCACCCGGGGGATGTAGTCTGGTATAAAACTAACAATATGAAATAAATATTATTGCAATAAAGGGCGGATCAGAATTGGCAAGTAGCCTGTGTAGCAACCATTTTGGCCGTAGTTATTACTCATCCACTTGAGTTATTGTGAAAGCTCTTGCAGATGTGCAATAACTTGCGTGGAAATGCTTACTACCCGGACTAATGATACATCGAGTCAATAATTATTGTGATCAGAGATGGTACATGTTGGTTGTTGGGCCAGTATACTGCCACTCTCCCTTTCCTTTTACATGTAAGAATTTGGTAAGGTTTTACTCTCACACCTGCTGCTTATACCTAATACGTGCACAGAGATAGTTATTTAAGACTCCATACAAATCCTCAAAAATTGGCCTTCGAAGGATTTGCATGCAGTTGTCAAAAAACATAAGGATGCTATAATCCTCGCCAAAAATCCCCGAAACACCTATGCACGTCCCTTTCCCCCTGCAATGTTGAGAAGTGGCAGGAAATTTTCAAATAAATAAGAGTTAAACATTTTTAGTGGCGACTACACGCCTGCCTTGCATCTGTTGTAATGATGATGTACACGTTTGTTGAAGTTCGATAAATTATGTGAATTTTTTTTTCTGAATGTGAGAGGAGAAGGTGAAGTGTCTAAGGAGAAGAGTTGTGTTGAAAAGAAATCTTCACTTGAAAGGGAGTGAGTGTATGCAAGCAGAATTTGCAGTCGTGAGCTGTTCTGTTGCATTAGAACAGTGTAATATTGTGCTAGGACCTGCAAAGATTTAGCACAAGAAATGTCTTTGCTAGAACTGCCAATTTACAGAAGTATTTTTTCCTTGATAAGAGTAATTTCTGAAGGTAAATGTTAGGCAGGTAACTTAGAACTGACCGTATTTCTATTGAAACGGGACTCACCCCAAATTAATCCCATTATGCTTGTGTTGTGTAATGTGCAAGGGCTACGGTTTACCCCAACGGTTTACCATTAGATTTTTTCGGTGTCAGTGGATTTCAAAAAGTCGCAGCATGTATTTATATCTGCAAACAAATGCAGACACTTAACGTCTTTAATAACAGCATTGTTTCCAAAGTGTACGACCGTTACTTTCTAGTGCTGTCTGCTCACAAGGAGAAAAGGGTCAACGGTTTACCATTGTTAAATATGAAAGTAACGCTGTTGACATCTTTATTTTATTACACAGTATGGTTAACCGTTGTAAAAACCCTTAAATTCAAGCTGTGGCCAGATCTGAACTTAACAGTTGGGTTGGATATTAATTTTAGTTAACTTCATATCAAACCTTTTTTTAAACTACAAAACACACATTTGAAACAGAATAAGAGCAAAAACAATGGTAAACCGTGGCGTTAACACGCAGGGTTAACCGATGACTGTTTACATTACGCAACAGATGCATCACGCAATTATATCGGGCCGAGTTCTATTTAAATAGAACTCAGTGAGTTGCTCAGTATCGGGTTAATTTGTTTTCTTTCCTTGAATTTCCTGAATTTCCATTCGGCGCTGCATACAGTTATCCATCGAGTTTTATCACATTTTTTCTCGTCTATACTGCAGGTATTAAGAATTGTATTTTTCATTTCCATTTTGTCCATTCTGTGAAAAATTACTTTTCTCTCGCATTTGACATGCAAGTCTCCACTTACTAATTAAAATATGTTCACTATTGGATTTAAATTAGTTCTCATTGATATCATGTCTTGTACAATTCTGCATTGACTGCATTGGGTCCGCTGTTGGAAATTAGTAATGTTGACCAAACCCTTGTCTTCTTGGTTAGCTCCCTGTTCTAAATAAAGTTGGTATTGTAATTTTTTCTCCTTGAAATCGAGAAACAGTTCTGGAAAATTTGAGCGGTAAAGATTGCCAAGAAAGAAATTCTCGTCATATATTTAAAGCCCTTAAAATCAAAACACCTCACGCTATAGGTCACGCTTGCTGTTTCTTCGAGCATGCCGCCACGTCTGAATAGCGTGTAATGATAACCAGATGGCCTTTTACACCTCACACAATCCTCACCAAAAATCTGAAACACCTATGCACGTCCCTTTCCCCCTGCAATGTTGAGAAGTTACTTCAAAGTTGCATGGCTACAACAACGTTGCAAAAGGGAGGGGGAAAACAAAAGGGAGCAGAATTTTCCAAAGTGTTTCAAGGTTTTTGTCTAAGATTGTAGTATCTCTCACTGTCATTTGGTGCAAACACACTGATTTTTGGTACACAAGCATTTTTCATCTTGGTCTCATAGAGGATGACAACAAATCCCATAATTTCACAAATTCTCATTTCTGTTATGTCACACTTTGTTACTCAATTCAGTCAGGGCTGGATGAACAACCACTCAATTTATTCATCATCATTAATTTTTATCAACATATTTATTGACTGATTTATCCTTCACACCCCTGACAATGTTCAAAATCAACATTTTAAAACCTCTTTTTATAAAAATTCTACTACAAATATTACCATATGGAAAAACCAGAGAATTTCGTCCTCGCAATCAAAGTCAGAATTACATAACACATCTCCCCTCAACTAATGAAGTGAAATGGATATCAGATAAAAAAGACTTAAATACCTCCTCTTTTACACATCTATTCAATGCTCTTTTGATGTCATTGCACTCGCCTAGGAATTTCCCAACAGGATGCTGTAAAGAAAGGCGAAAAAAAAAATTGTATACAGCACAAGAACATGGCCAAGAAGGCACGCACGTGTTTACAACACAAGACGTTAATTACTAACCTGTTCGTGACAGCGATACAGTTGCTGTATAATTTCTAGGCAGTCGCCATGAAGATGAGGCGCTAAAGAGGGATGCATAGCTTGCAAGAATTACCCTTTACCATTTAAATTTACTCGTCACATAGCCTATAAACAGCTAAATTGTACTTCTTTGCAAACTGCGACTCTGAACAGAACGTTTAGCAACCACGCCTTCTGGGTATCCTTTGTTTTTTACGGTAATATAAGCTACTACGAAAAATGACCCACATTATTTGAACCCGACTTCCGGTTCCTTTTCCGGTTTGCACTAACCGGATTTTCTAACTTTCTTTTAGAACTCCATTTAGTATTAAACTTGGTTAGTGATATAACATTTAAGTGTCATAAAAATAGTATTAGTATATGGCTTATATTTTTATTTTCGCGCATGATTTTACGGTTGAAGAATTTACGGGCGAGGTCCAAATCTACGGTCTTGTGATCTACCTCGGTCCGTCCTCGTGACGAGGTTTTCCCCGGAAAACGGGCATCAGTTACCTGTTATATCGGCAAACATTCATGTTAAACTGGCTGGTTCCGGCGTGGGTCGGTTCCAGAAATAAAAAACAACAATTATCGACAATGTTATTTGGAGGGAGTTCGTTGACTCGATCTGTTACTAATGGATGTTCGGCTGTTCTTTTGGTCATCAATTTGGCTTTTTGGTGGGTAGATCTCATTTGTAGACTGATTACTTATGTCTATGTATTTTGATAAGCCACGTTTAAAAGGGATAAATGCTTAAAGAGGCCAAGCGGCGTTAATTTGCAAAGACCGCAATACCGCAGCAGGTGAAATTCATAAAACGGCAAACTGATCCTTACTGCAAGGCGAGAAGAAGTAAACAAAAGAATAAAACAGAAAATATATATTTAAACGAACCATCCTGCAGGCTCGTAGAAAACGGGAGAGCACCGTTACGCTACGCCAGAACAGAAATCCCAATTTTTTTTTCAATTTTTCCTTTTGTTTGTTTGTTTGTTTGTTTTTTCTATTTTGTTTTTTTTTTAGAGCGGGGAACTGGGGCCTGAGGAGACTGAGAGATTTCTTTTTGCTTTTATTTTTTATTTTTTAAAGTACGTTTGGGCCAGGAGTGGGAAACGCTGTACCGGAAGCAAAAAAGCCTTCCCCAAATAAACTCCGAGTCTTTAAAGAGGAAGTTGTAATCGCCCCACAGACATTTAAGCGTGGTGTGACAAACTCATATAAGAGGTCAGGCAAAAGACAGGACTGTAAAAAAAAAATTGAATAAAAACTATCTTGAATAGAAAGTACGCCCGAATAAACTTCAGATTCCAACAACCGCAGAGTCCAGCAAGCCAAGATGAAAATATCGCAAAGGGGGGAGGGGGAGGGGGGCTTAAGATGAAACTATAACGGTAGTCTGAATGTCTTCGACGCTATTACCCAGGCCTTGCATAAGAGATGGACTCTCTGGGATGATGGACTGTGGTATACAGTATACCGCTACACAAAAGGTAAAAACATGCCTTTATCAGTGTTTTTCTTTGGTTCAATACTAGGTGTCTCTGCGAGTCAGTGGTACGTATCTAGACTCAATGGAACTGTCGAAGACGGTTGTGGCCTAGTAAAGTCTCGCCCTTGTAAACATATCTACCAAGCAACTACGCTGGCTCACGAAGGCGATGTCATCAACATCGACGGGTCGGGAACGTCACGTGATCCATACCCCTGCGATGTCTACACAAGAATGCACATACAGCACATAGCCGGTATTTCGATTGCCAGCTACACAACTCAAGCTTTTGTTGCTTGTGGAAGCAAAAGCTTGCAATTGTCTTGCGATTTCAGAAGCAGCTCTTCTGGCGGTATCTTTTTGGAGGGAATCACTTTCGTAAATACCTCCCTGAATCTTGTCGATTGTTCTCTTAAGATGTCAGGGGTCATGTTTGTTAATAGTTCTAATGACGCTTTTTCTCTTAATTTTTCACGTGGTTTCACTGGAACTATTAGTATTTCTGGGTGCACGTTCTACAACATTCAAGATTCGCGGTGATTCGGTGAACTTGAACATAACAGATACGTTCTTCACTGAAAATAATCTCCGTATGAACAGCTTAGAGAGCGCGCTCCTGAGAATTTCACCGCAAAGCTTGTCCGCTCAAATTCAAGTTAACTTAAAGAATATCAATGTCTCAAGAAACAACTGTTCTGGAAAAGCATGTATGGAAATTCGATCGGGAAGAAATGGACTTATAATAATACAGATGAAGTTTGGGAGTATTGGCAATAACTGTGCAAGAGAAAGTGTGATTGACATCAGAGGCACTTCTCTCATAAACTTAACGAAGATTCACTTCAGGCAAAACATTGGCAGGGCTATCAACATTCGTGATGGAAACTCGGTTAAACTAGAAATTACTAGGAGTACGTTTTTGGAAAATAAAATGGCAACGTCAGTGGAGGATAGAGATGGAGGAGCCCTAAGTGTTAAAGGATTCAGACAAGAAGCCCTCGTTTTCATGTCGAGGACACTTTTTCGCTCCAATGCGGGGGTGAACGGTGGCGCATGCGCATTCACTGAGTTAACTTTACTAAAGCTGGACATCAAAAGATGTCATTTTATTCAAAACGAAGGTTCTGGTACATCTGGCGGCGCGTTGGCTGTTGGAACAATGGATTCCCATCTAAACAATGCCACTATCAATATTCACGATTCAAATTTCACTGGAAATAAAATTTACAATGTGAATCACTTATTTAGCCTGGAGGAGCCATGGCATTCTATGTGGATTACATGAAGGATCTCCTACTTATAAACACCAGCATCGTCAAAAATACTGCCGAACAAAAGATTGCTGGAGCTATAAAAGTTAACTTGTTGAAGACACTTTATCAAGACATTTTATTCCTTAACTGTGAATTCATTAGGAATTCAGGCGCTGTAGAGACAGGGACCTTGCATTTAGTTTTGTTAACGTCACCCCAAGCGCGTGTGAAAATACAAAACACCAAGTTTATTCAAAATAAAGCCATTTCTCCCGCCCAATACGACATTTTGGTCCTCTTCAAAGGCTTCCTGAAGATCGATTCTTGTACCATTCAACATAACGCTGGAGGAGGGGTATTCTTTCAACACGCAGGTGATGTATCCTTGGAGAATACTTTGATTAGCGACAATGACAACTTTATGATAAGTCTCAAAGCAGGAATTAAGAGCAACGCAGGTTTTAAGCTAACCAACGTCTCGATCCTAAGAAACGTCTGCAGAGGGAAAAGTAATATTTTCCACGTGTCTATGAATCAATCGCCATATTCCTTGCGTTTTCAAGGGAGTGCCTTCGAGGACAATTTCCGCCAGTCAGGGGTGGTAGAGATTTCTGGCATGTCTGACCATTGCCTGGATACCAGTGTGAACAGTTTAGGTGCAATAGTAGCCATGAACAACACCCTGTTTCGTGGAAATTCTGGTGTCGTAAAAAGCGCGCTATCAATAATTAACGCTGATGTAGTCCGAATTGAAAACTGTTCTTTTAAAAACAACTTTGGAGGCGCCTACGGATCTCATTTGTCAGTTCAGCTACGTTCGACCAGATTAACAATTTTCAAAACGAAGTTTTACCAGTCGGAAAAGTCTAACATCTTTAACACAATAGAAGAGCAGCCATATCATGGCTTCTTAAAGGTTACAAGTTTTGGAAACATAAGTGTTACCGAGAGCTCGTTTATTTCTGATCCCCTCAGTTATGACGGAGAAGGTCTAATCTTTGTTGAGGGTGCAAACAATGTTTCTATGGACCATTCCGTGAAAATTCAATCCCCAGTAGGAAGCAAGCTGATATTCCATAACTTTCCACATTGGGAAACCATTAACAAGAAGACCACGTGGGTAACATGGTTCTCTAGTCTTACTAAGCCCTGCTCTATAAGCACGTACAGTATAAAAAGGGGATCAAGTAGAGGTCTGAAAATGGAGCACAACGTACAGTGCCTACCATGTCCCAATGGAGGCAACTGTACCAAGGAAGTGGCGGCAATGCCAAATTTCTGGGGGTACCCCATGGGTGACACGGTACATTTTCAGTTGTGCCCACATGGGTACTGCTGCCCAGCTGTCAATCAAAAGTGCCCTTACCACAATGAAAGCTATCACAAGTCTGGTTGTCAAGGTAACCGGACAGGGATTCTCTGTGGCAGTTGTAAGGAGAATTTCAGCGAGGCGTTATTCCACACCAACTGTGCTCGGGACGACGAATGCACTCATCTCTGGTACCTGATCGTATTTTTCATTTGCCAAAGTAATTCGCGTTTTACCTTATCCGTAAACCTCCAGTTTTTCAAAAGATAATGCAAATGTTAACATGGTTCATCTCAAGTAACAGCTGAAAAGATTACCACGACGTCAACAAATCGGAAAATGGACAGAAAGCAATAGCTACGTCATCGTTTTCTTCCCACGGTTACCTGAAAATTCTTTTTTATTTTTATCAAGTTGCAGGACTGTTGACTGTTTCATCATATGGTGCAGGAGAATTATTAACAGACAAGACTGTATTTCCAATAACAAGCCTTTTCGACTTTAAACTATATCCTCATAGCGACTGGAATATTTGCCCTTTTGCAGGTCTCACGCCGCTGACCAAAACACTGACTCAAGTGTTTGTCGTCATGGCAATCTTCTTGGCAATACTGTTTATTTACCTTCTGCACAGCGGGCTTAACAAACTGCGCAAGCGTACTCCAGTGTTTCCCTTAAAAGGTCCATACCTGGGAGCGATCCTTGAGAGCGTGTTGCTAGGGTACTCAGCAGTGACAAGGACCACAATGAGGCTACTGTACTGTGTAGAAATACAGCACGTGCATCGATGGTACTACAACGCGGAAATCACGTGCTATCAATGGTGGCAAAAGAGCACTATAGCAGTCATTATTCTGTTTTTATTTCCCTTTATATTCATGCTTTCTGACGGCTCCTTGCGCCTGCATCGGCGACAAATTTCAGCGGAGAAGTTTCTACTGGCTTGCGTTTTTCCTCTTCCATACCTGCTTTATGCCAGTGTTGTATACCTAAAGAAAGCGTTAAAACGGCCGCTTTT